CTGACAGGGTGTGCTCTGTGCAGCACTGATTTCAGCAAATTGCCATGAAACTCACATTTTACAGAAGAACTCACGGTGCAGTTTGCCATGTTTTAATGTACAAATATCAACTAATATGAAATATTAATGAGGTGTCTGAAGACAGAACAACTCATATAGGCCTAGTTGAAAAAGAGATTTTTTCAACTCATATAGGTGATTTTTTTTTTTTTTTTTTTTTTTTTTTTTCTATGTAAGAGATTCACAAGGGGGCACATGTGCAAAAAATATTATTAATATCAGTAGTAGCCTATATTTAAACCAGGATATAAATCCTGGAAACCAGGATATTTTTTTCAGGATTCTTTGATGAATAGAAAGTTCAAAAGTATTTATTTTAAATCGACTTTTGGTAACATTTTAAAAGTTGTTATTGTACTAAAAGTATAAATCTGTAGCGTTTGTTTTCTCCCTGCAAACATTAATAAAATGCATAAAACCATTGTCTAGAACACAAACCACAATACATTTTTAAAAATAATATTTAATTTCTCTCAAAATACTCTTATTAACCAATTTTATTATTCTAATTTATTGTTTAACTATTTTTATTAACTTTTTGAAATGAAAATATAAAAATGTAAGCATTTAAAGAGAACCAAAAAACAATTCAACTATTAAAATAGCTCAATTCAACAATTTCATAATGAAAATAAAGTTATTTCAAAGAATATATATTTCTTTAGACTCTGGATGGCAAAAAAATAAATAAAAATCACCACCCCATCTACACCACTGGCCACATCATTTACTAATTTGGGAAATTCCATAATTGGTCAAGCATTTGGTGGTAGCGATATGATGTAAAACAATGCTAAATAAGGTATAATCACTCCGTCCGACACATGTAAACCATATCAGATGTTCCAGTCTCTCCCCCTTCCTGTTTTTCCGATTTTTGACCGACATGTCTAAATCCTGAAAGAACATTTTCAAAGATTATTTTTACAAATGTTCCCCTCGAGCTGAGAGATCAGTGAAGTTTTAGCGGAGATGTTAGAAGACATGCAGAGGTGAGATATAATTAGGTTTCCATCTGGTAGTCACATTGCAAACTTTTACCAAATCCTGGGCTCGATTTATATTAAATAACTGCCAATTTCTCTCTCCACTGCAAATATGTGCTATTAGCTGGCTGTTTCTTTGATGACAAGAGCCACAGATATTGTATTTTTACCTAAAAGCATTCTACCCTGTTCAAAAAGCAAATGTTATTTTATCATGCCCATAACCACAGACATATTGTGATGTCTTTATGATCCATTTCCCTAAATTTGGTGCTGGAACTTGTATTTTACATCATTTGTGAGCTATACTGCTGCATGAAAGTCCCTCACACTGTTCACTCGTGGTAATAAACAGACACTCTAAAAAGCGGAAACCAATTTGGAAGTGTGATGCTGCGTGAGACATCGCTTCTAAAGAAAGAACTTTGAAAGGAATCAGTCTGGCTGGCATATTGCTGCATCTCTTCATTACCTCAGACAGTGAATTGTCCAGTTGTTTTGACATATGGCATTCTAATTTACTCAATAACTTAAGACCACAATTCACCACTTAACTACTATAATATTTCATACAGGAACTGCTCAATTTTGTTGATGAAATTTCCACAGCCACAGATGAAAAATCACTTTCTCTCTGGAATTTGACCTTGCTAGTCTGAATACGTGGCATCAGAATGAGTGTTGCGAGTCGGATGGGGCAAGATGGGCCAGGTGTGCTGTCATTATTTGGCACAACCGTAGCTCATTAATATTAATTAGATCACTTTTCTATCTTAAACCATCCAACAGCCGCATTACGTAATTGACAATTATGAGCCAAAACTTTGTACAATTCAACTATGTACTAAATTGATGTTCTGTGCAGATGTGCTTGAGTTGTATGACCCTGTAGACGTTCTATAGAGATAGACGTTTACAAAGCAAATGTTACATTTGCTTGGATGTAGCTTTTAGTATTAATAAACTGATTGAAAAGATTCAATCTGAATAGTTAAAAGAGTTAATTTGGGATAGTCCATCCAAAAATTCTGTCATCATTTGAGAAGAGAGAAATATAATTTTCCATATATGAAGCGGAGGATGGAACCATTTCTGGTTCTAAATAGAACCATTTCTTCTATGAGTGTTCTGTGGATATTTTGATGCATGTTTTTTTTCATTGATGATGATCCATTTTTTTAATCAATACAATGAAAGTCAAAGGGGTCCAAAACAGCATAATACCCCACTGACTTTAATTTTGTAGAGAAAAAACAATGACATTTTTTCTAAATATCTACTTTTGTGTTCCACAGATTAAAGAATGTCATACAGGGAATGAAATGAGAATGAGGAAATAGACAGAATTTCATTTTTTAGTGAAGCCTTTGAATTCTCAGATTTCTGAACTGAAAGGTAACAATTTAACATCAAGGATGCAATTATATATAAATATAAAAATATATTATAAATATAAAAAACGGTTAGTTCCAGGCCTTGATTCTGATTGGTCAATAGCTGTAGTGTGTTTTATTCATGTCTTACGGTGGAGTCTTTATCGTCATCACTGGCGGCCATCTTGTCTCAGGCAAGCTTTCTGGCGGGGTTACTGATGTAAGATGAGTGACCAGCACGAACACAAATACTCTTATTTTGAAATCTTGACGGATTAAAACCACTGTATTCTATTGCCAGGCCATTCGATGGCAATGAAATACTATTGAACACGTAATATGACGTTATCATTTTCACAGATTCAAAAGAAACCCGTTTTCAAAAAGTTGTGTTTTCAGGCACCCACACTGTAAAAAAAGATTTTTCAAGATTTGTTATCACAACATTTTTTCTTTTGTCAAATCAACTTAAATAATTTATTTAGTTGAGCTAACTTATTATTTTGAGTTTCTGATGATTAAATCAATCTCCTTCGTTGTATTAACTCACTTTTTCCTGTTCAGTCAACTTAAAATTTTAAGACAACCAGGTTACTTATTTTTTTAAGTTAAACCAACAATATTTTTTTACAGTGCAAAATGCCTTTGTCGTGTAAATGAAAAGTCTTCCCTTTTTTTCGTTGAAAAACGTCAAATCTCTCTCGATCACCCTTTTATTCTTTTTCAGTCTCTCGCCTTCTTTTTTAGGCTACTCCTGTTTTCCTGATTGCTCTCAACTGCTAGGGAAATTATGAACGAGACATAATGGTCAATGTGAGGTGCCTGGACAGCCTTGCTTTACTCATCAAAATTCCTTTGTGCTGTTCCTTATTGTGCTGTGTTCAGCCATGGAGAAGCTGTTAGTTCGAGGACAGGGCAGGTGAATGGGGCCAAGTACAATTCTCCTGATGACAGCATTCCACCTGTGTCACTAAGGAATATGAAACAATGGTAGTATAATTAATCATGGCCTTGTTTTTCAGCTCCCTCATAGAGAGAATCATTGGAAACAACATTATTACAGAGACTTTGCGTTGTCTTCAGATTGGCAGGTGGCATTCTTATTTGAGTATCTCTCAGTCTAGCTCTTACATACATACAATGAAAGTCGATGAGGTGCAGTGCTGTTGGACTCCAGCAATTTCCTGCTTTTATTCTGCAGAAGATAAAAAGTCAAACAGGTTTGGAATGGTATGAGGGTGAGAAAATGATGACATACTTTTAATATTTGGATAAACCATCCCTGAATATCACATAACATGTAATTAATATTCATGAGCCAAAATAGTGGCACCACAACCTGCCTTATTCTAACACTCACTCTGACGCCACATATACTGTACATACTTTCATTAATTCCAATTCATTCAGAAAAGGGATTTTTTTCATCTGAGGATGTGGAAACATTAAGAAAGGAAAGACTGTATTGTCCTTTGGCCATGGTTTTGCGAGTGATTTTTAACATGTGGTGCATTTTAATACAGTAAGACTGTAAACCAAAGGAAAATATGATGCAATTTGATTGGTGTGTTTCACTTACTGGTTTATTTAATGATATACACATTAAGCAGTCTATTTCACTTTGTAATTGCTATTGAGAGATTAATATGGAGTAATATATTCATCTTTGACTTTATACATCTGATATTCTGCATTTGATTAATTTGATTCATGATCTTGGCTCTTTGCCAGACCCAGTGTATTAGGGGTAAGGAATGAAATGTGCCTTGATTTTCCAGACAGGCAAAATGACTCAAGTGTGACAGAGATTTGGCAAAGCAAAAATGTTTTGAGAAAATCATTGACATTATACAATACTATATACATTAATACTTCACTGAGATTGACTTGCACCTGATTGACTCATTTATTTGCAAAAGCTGTTTGTATTTAGCATCCAGTTTACTAAATGATTACATTTGCATGCATTTGTCGGACGATTTTATTCTAATTGAAATAAGTCATTTTACAGAGCCCCGCACGTAATTAAAAAAATAAAGAAAGAAAGAAAATAAAGAAAGAGACTTACTTATGTGCGGCCATGTTTTACAAGTTTGTTCCCTAATTTTACTCTTCGTCTTGGTTTTGCAATTTTAATATGCAAAGAAACATTAAAGAATATCAAAAATGGGAGATAAATAGATAACAATTTGCATATTAAAATGGTACCAAACTAAATGTAAAAGTGGATCCAAAAACAGAGTCCATTATAAACACACACACACAGTAATATACTGTATATGCAAAGGGGCAACACAAATCCATAGTGGTTGGTTAAACAAAATTTTAGGCAGATAGTGAATAAGAATGATGAAATTGCGTACAAAAATAATTATTACATCTAGAAATTATTGAGTTATATTAATATCTATCTATCTATCTATCTATCTATCTATCTATCTATCTATCTATCTATCTATCTATCTATCTATCTATCTATCTATCTATCTATCTATCTATCTATCTATCTATCTATCTATCTATCTATCTATCTATCTATCTATCTATCTATCTATCTATCTATCTATCTATCTTTTTGAAGGTACTTTGTGTGTGTAGCAGTGCTGATTTACTTCCTCCCTCTCCTGGTGATGGGCTGCGCTTACCTGGTGGTGGGTTTGACTCTGTGGGCCAGTGAGATCCCAGGAGATTCGTCTGACCGTTACCAAGAGCAGCTGAATGCCAAACGCAAGGTCTTCATCACATCATCCTCTTGTTCCTCCTTTTTCCATCATCCTTTTAAGCCCATGATGACACACACAGTCCGGGTCAGACACTGAACGCAGAGTTTACAGAGACGACAGAGTTCACACGCAAGGAGGGTCAGACATAGCTACATGAAATAATCACTATGAAACTCATAGGGAGAAGGTCCGTCTGCTTCTTTCATCTGTATTGTGTGTGTGTGTGTGTGTGTGTGTGTGTGTGTGTGTGCCCCATTCACCACACCATCATGTGGAGATGTGAAGATATACCGTTTTCTCTCCACAATCTACTTTACATTCTAATGCTATTGTTTTGCTTTAACATTTTCCTCTTCTTCCTTCTACAAAATATCTTAATCTATTTTCTCTGCACATATTGCTGGTACATAAAATATGATCACACAATGTGACTACCTCGGAGCGCCTGAATGTCCCTGTTTTAGGTTTGAGCATCATAAACATCAAAGAGTCTGTGACAGTCCACTGGTGACTGCAGTGATTTGCTTCTACATACTCTGGCTTCAGGCAGTGTGTGTCATGGTGGGTTTCATGCTGATTTCAGGCCCTCTTTAAGCTGTAGATGGATCATGAATCTCCAGTGTTGTAGAACAGGAGTAGGGATTTGACCTACCTTTCACAGACCTAGTCCGGACAGGTGCATCTTATTGACTGTGGAAAATTGAAAGGCAGCTTTTCTGTGGTAGAACAACAGAGACAAATCAACTAAAAAAATGCATTTGCTGAAAAATATGTTATTTGAAGGTGCACTCAGTAATTCTTTGTTTTGGTGTTGCAGTAAGGGTGACATTTTGGAGGTATGCCAAAACAACATGGATGCAGCATCACACAAAAGTGGTTACTTTAGAATATAGAAATGCATGTTTCCGGAGACATTTTAAGGTGATGACGAGACATCAAATTGTATAAAAATTACAGTAATGGGAAAAATATAATGCTGTAGTCCTGCCTTACAGTTACATAAAAAAGCCAGTTGCCTGTTAGTTCACTCGTGAATGTGTATTGACATTAGCCAAACCAGCCTGTTTGTGTAATTAGAGTTAAAGAAGCCAAATTTTAGTTTTAAATACCATTGTTGTCAGATTCTGGATGATGCGACGGCAGTGCGCCAGAACGCCCAGCACACACCAGCTTACTGGTGGAGAGAAGACAGATTGATGAAGCCAATCAGTGTGTGTGTGTGTGTGTGTGTGTGTGTGTGTGTGTGTATATATATATATATATATAGTGGGGATGATTAGGAGGCCATGATGGATAGACGTCACTGGGCACATTTGGCCAGGATGTCAGGGTTACACCCCTACTCTTTTGAAAGACATCCTGGGATTTTTAATACAGTAGACCTCGGTTTACTGTAACGTCTCATCTGAAGGACAGTGCTCTTTGACAGTATAGTGTCCCTGTCACTATACTGGAGGGTTAGGACCCTCACAGACAGAGTGAGCGCCCCCTACTGGGTTCACTAACACGTCTTCCAGCAGCAACCTTGTTTTCTCAGGATGTCTCCCATCCAGGTACTAACCAGTCTCAGCCCTGCTTAGCATTAGTGAGCAACTAGTCTTGGGTTACTAACACAGTCTCATCCCAAGAAGTCATATAACTGACGTCTTGGGACGTCTTTTGACCATACGTCAACATCCGCCTTTTTAGGGTACCCTTAAACGTCAGTTACATGACCGTCATACAACTGACGCTTTACCTTTAACGTCGGTTAGGTGACGGGATAGGTTAGGGGTAGGTTTAGGTCTGGGGTAGGGTTATCCGATAACGTCATCTAACCGACGTTTAAGGGTACCCTAAAAAGGCGAATGTTGACGTGTGGTCAAAAGACGTCCCAAGACATCAGTTATATGACGTCTTGGGATGAGACTGCACTGGGGTTACAGGGTGATATGGCTACTGAAAATGCGAACCATCATGATGCAACTCACTGCATGTGAAATAAAACTTTTAGCTTTTAGGCTACTGATATGACTGTATTTTTTTTATGCGAGTTTATTCATTTTTTATAATGTGCAATTGTTTTTAATCAACAAAAATTACTGAGTGTACCTTTAAAACAGTAGTGTGTGATTTTAGCATCAAATGGAATTGCAAAAATTCTTAGGTTTCACAAATACTTTCCTTATCATCCTCAACAAGTAGTTCCACCTAAACTCATGGCATTATTTGACCCAATGTGTCTGTCAGGTCGCCACAAATGATTAGACTTTTTGGGGGAAATCAACCTGCATATGCCTCATTGTCACTTCACATTACAATAAGCTTGGGAAAACATGTTAAACAGAGAAAAATCCCCTTTAAAATATAATGGATGTTAATTTAAGCTGTTTTAGAAATTTGGCTACTACACAATGCATATTTTTGGCTTTAGGCCATTGGACCACCTGAAATCTAATGTTGAGAAAATGATGTCTGACAGCATTCTGGCAGTTTCCGTACAATGTGGGCAGAATCCAAATGTCAGGACAGACACTGTATTTATACAGTAGACATGCACCAATATTGAAATGTTTTCTTCTTGCCTAACCCTCAGGTGGTGAAGATGATGATTGTGGTGGTATGTACGTTCGCTGTTTGCTGGCTCCCCTATCATGTCTATTTCCTGATTTACCAGTTCTACCCACACCTGTTTGAGCATCCCTTCATTCAGCAGGTCTATCTGACTATCATGTGGCTGGCAATGAGCTCCACTATGTACAATCCCATTATCTACTGCTGCCTCAATGACAGGTAATTTCACCTGGAGTGAAAACACAGTAATTGACACACACACATAGTCACATCTAGCTCTTTCCAGAGTCGCTGTAATATTTGCTGTAATATCATTATTGTTCGAAATGATCCATCTTTGTACCGTAGAATTCAGCCCAATGCTGTGATGTATTATTCTGTAATGTATCCCGGTTTTGCCGCCTCACTCAGATGCTAAAAATCCATTACACATGCCTTTGAAAGTCAAAGTAATAATATCCTCTAGTCAATTTTCACATTTAAACTCATCATTATCACATCTGTCTATTCTTCTCCCACATTTTTGCACGCATCCTCAGGTTCCGTGCCGGATTTAAGCAAGCATTCCGCTGCTGTCCATGCGTCCCTGAGGGATCCTACGAGGGTCTAGAGCTCAAGTCCACCCGGCACCTTCAAACCCAGACCAGTTTGTACAGGGCCAGTCGAATGGAAAGCACCGTGTCCTGCGTGACACAGCCATGTGAAGATGGCCACAAGGTTACCTTTGGGAGCATCAGAGCGGCTTCTGAGAGGCCGGCAACTCACAGCCCTTCCAGGGAGTTCACCTCCAATGGCTCGTCCTCTCGCAGTATTTCCAAGACCGTGTCGGAGACATCCAGCTTTTACTCCAGTAATAACCTACAGGAATAAGAGCACAGAAACACAAGAGTCTAGCAGGACGAATGTCACCATCTTTTGCTGAGATGTAATCGATGTAACCCCCCACCCCATCCAGTGTAAATCTTGAGGATTACCTTGAGTGTGTGCAGATGTTTTAGCTGGTTGAACACAAACAGCAAGTGTTTTTCATTTCAAATGATCCATTCATTCTATTCATGAGGTTTGATTATGATTAGAGGAACATTTACATTGATTTTTTTGGGGGGTAATGCTTTCTTTCCAAAGTTGTGTAATTGTTGCATTGTGCTGACTTACGTAAATGAGAGCCTGATTTAATGATCCTGCAATCACTGAAGACATTTTAAAAGTTTACATTAATGGATATGTGATGCAGTGGAACAATGAGTCATTATACTGTATATATTGAATATGGCCACTTAAATTGGTCTCTATAGAAACAGGAAAAAAAAAAAACCAAAAAAAAAAAAAAAAACATACACCTCTTAATCGCCTAAGATGGCCCACCTTGCTCAAATGATTGAAGAGATAATATGAAACCTCACATCATATTTTCACTGCAACCAAAAAAACAACAACCAAAGGGCAGAAATTACATTACTGAAAATGTCACGGTAGCTTCGTGGTCAGTTAGAGCAATGATCCCATGAAATAAACATGAACCACATCAGTTGTCAATATAAACACTTCCACAGGGAAATTAGATGACTTTTCAAGGTGTGCCTGGAAACACGAATGCATGTGGTGAAAGCTCTGATTTTGTGCTGCTCTGAAGAATAGATCTGGGGGGAAATGTGCAGAGAATATTTATCTGTCTGTCTCTTTTTCTTTATTCTCTTACCCGTTGGCTTACTTGAATTTATTTTTTTATTTTTTTTCGTAATTGACCCTTCACTAAGCTCCGCCCCTTGGTTACTGGATACTTGCTGTTGTAGACAAGCAGAAAAATGAAAAAGGAATTGAAAAATCATTAGGAGATGAGCAGTGTGATAATCAGTGAAATATGATCATTAATGATAAAAATTATTAGATTTTATTTATAAGTAGGCTAGGCTAAAATTTGTTTTGACATCACAAAGCATATATGCTTTTTTGTTTTTCAATACGTAGTGATAAACTGCATTGACTGCAAGTCATTTATGAAAACATTAACAATATAAATTATTACTATGTCATCCAGGTCATGTTTGCATAATCTTTTTTGAGTAGCCTACTATGAATTCAAACATATACTTCTTTTGTCACATACTGTTATTCACCTGTTGCGGAATATCTGAGACCTGTGCCTTCAAGTTTTGTTGTGATTTTGAGTTGTTGGGTTTGTTGTGCGGACGCTACAGTTTGCTGAGGTATGATTGGTCAGTAACATTTGTAAGGCGGGGCTTAGTGACGTACCGATTCTGTAGTTATTCTATTGTAGAAGCATTCGTGCCCACACACACATCTCCCTCACACTGGACAAGGCCAAAGTAAAATTAGCTCTTTAGGCACTTCCCTGGATACAGTCATATGATACTGAGGTACACAGGATTATAGGACAAAAGCGGTGAGGGGGGTTTAAAAGTTACGCAAGGGATGTGGGATGGGGGGTTGAAAGAACACCTGCTGTTCTTGACTGGGATTGTGCGAATGGTGTCTGTTTTCCAAAACAGAGGAGCGAGCCTGATTGCGGGGCTGTGCTTCATTGTTCACACAGTGGCAGAAGGCTTGTCATGGTGCAATATGTTCTGAATATTTCAGTGCAATTTATAACATATTGTACTGTAATGACTGTGATCTGAATGGCCCTGACTGTTTGGCAGGTGCTGCTTCCAGGAGTAAATGAGCCACACTATGTTCCTGATGTACAAATTATATTTTAAAATTCAGAACCGTCAGTGATGCTTTTGCACTGTCACATATACCATCACTCTAAAGTGTGCCAAACAACTATTTAGTAGTCTTACCATTTTAATTAAATCACTGGTCAGGAAATTAGCAATTGCACAAATTCTAGAGAAAGTAACTTATGGAATAGCCTTCCCGTTTGTTATCTTTAAATGTTTGAGCTGTGTGGGTAAACGTGCAGAAAGCTGTTTGTTCCTCTCAATGCTTATGGCTTCAAACATTTCAAAATGTCTCCCAGTTCGTTTAATGTGAGACCAAATATTCAATATTCAATTCTGGAATGGCCAAAACATGAGCCTGATGCAAAGTCACTTCTTTGCAATTTGGGCAGGATCATTATCTCGTTAAAAAAATGACATCTAATCACTCCTCTTTTGACAACAACTTTTCATTTGTTGGAAGCAAGCCATTCTGCAATATTCTCCTGTACTCCAAAGCATTAAAAGTCTTTTCACAGTGAAGTAGCTCAGCAATTCCAGCAGCTAAAATTGCTCCCCACACAATGACACCTCTTCCTCCATGCTTCACTGTGGTGGAGGAGCAATTATTATTATATTTCTCAACAGATTTTCAAAGATACCGTTCTGGAGCATCACCATGCAACTCATGTTTCATTATGACTTACCACTTCACACACACAAGTTCCCCAAATCTTTGATGTTTTTCTGAGACAGCATTGGACTTTTAAATAGGGTATTTTCTTAAATTCGCTAATTTCTTGACCAATAAGACAATCAAAAGCTTGTTGTTTTGCCATTTTGGGCTTGGCCCATTCTATGACTAGCCAAAAGATCTGATTAGTTGGGACTTTTTTGCTTTTGAAAGAAGTCACTGCTCACCAAAGCTAAAAAATAAATTAAAATATTTAAAAATAGAAAACAAGTAACACTTTACAATAAGTTTTCATTTGTTAACATCAGCTAATATATATTAACTAACATGAACTATCAAAGAACAACACATTTTTTTACAGTATTAATCCTTGTTATAACGTTGGGTAATAAAAATACAGCAGCTCATTGTTTCTTCATGTTACATCACAGTGCATTAAGTAATTTTAACAAATACTCTTTTTGATTTTAATGTATTGGTGAATGTTGAAATTAACATTAAGAAATGCATTTCATTATTAGTTCATGTTAACTGATGTAGTTAACAATGAAACAAAATTATACATATATATAGTAATTACTCACTCCTTCTGGTCATCCAAAACCTTTTTTTATATATATATATAAATGCAAAATAAGATATTTCAACGCATTCTCACCCCAAGGCGTCACCTTTTGACCATGCTTCAATATTCAACACTTTAGGCGCCCTTTAGCGTCAGTCACATGACGCGATCCTATACGCTAAAGGAAAAGCGTCAGTAAGATGACGCGGATAGGATTAGTTCTGGGTAGGCATAGGGTTACACGCGATCCTAGGGCGTCATCTTGTCACGGGGTGCGGTGGTGGAAGTGCAGGTTGAGGAAGATGACAGATGAGCCAGAACTCCAATGCAAACACTTTACTTAAACTTCAAACATCGAATGGCACAGACAGGAATCACACAGTAACATAAGTTCAACGATCGACAAAGACTGAAGGAAACTGAGGGAACTAAATACACAGGGGAATCAAACATAATGGAGTGAAAACAGGTGAAACAGATGATCAAAACGAGGAACAGGTGGCTGATGAGGGAGTGAGTTCAGGAGAGGAGACAAAAGGATCCTGGGAAGTGTAGTGCAGATGACGAGACAGACTGGTGCAGACGACAGATTGTGACACATCTAACTGAAGCTAAAGGGCGCCTATGGGCTGGATATTTTGAAGTCACAATGCCAAAACCCATTGACATTGTATGGACAAGAACAGACTTTTTTTTATATCTTTTGTGATCCACAGATAATAAGCAAGCCATACAGTTTTGGAACGACATGAAGGTGAATAAATGATGACAGAAGAGTGATAACATCCCCCCACCTCAAAAATCACATTTTGTTTGTCTGGGGTTTTGTGGCACTTCTGGACCATTTTTAACTGTGTATGAGCACAGGAGGATTTGCTCTCATCAGCTCTATCTTTCTATAATCAGAGTAATTACCCAAGAGAAGAGAACACAGAGGGGAGAACAACAGCTGTGTATTCACACACTACCCTCCAGCATTCCTTACATCCCTCCAAAGGCCTTTCTACATGGCTGCTTACTATCACTCGAAGTTATTATTCGTGTTCGTACGTAAACTGGGTGAGTCTGTGTATGTGCTTTAAACATACCTCTTCATGAGTCCAGCTGGTATATTTCATCAGTTATTCAGAAAGAAAGACGCGCTTTGATTTCCATCCAGCACAGGAGGCCTGATTTGAAATGTCCTATAAGACTCTGATCACAAGAATTATTGGCAACACTTTCATTATGACAAGTCTTTTTCCAGCACGCAGTCGTAATTTAGTTTTTATGACCTTTTTCCCCTTTTTCAGACCTTTTAAATTCATCAAGTTGTTTCGCTGCTCTACCCTTAGGTTTTCTGTGTTTCTCTTTCTTTGTGAAAAGAGAAACAGCGCTGCTGCTTACTTGTGTCGTGTGTTGGGGATTTGTTGTCTAATAGAGTTGGCACTGATCCATCTTTCACAAACACTCTCTTTGCAAAACCTGCATTACAGCCTTAGAAAAAAGGGTTCTATATGAAGCATGGGTTCTTTACTCAACCCCAAAGGAACTTTTATGCCAAAAAAATGTTCTATAATGACAAGAAAGAAGCCTTTTGGCACAAAGGTTCTTTATAGGCTATTATTCATTCTGCAACATTTTGTAGTTGTAATTAAGTTATTGTTTATTAAACTGTTGTAGTAACTTAATTTCACATTTTAATCATGCTGATTTTTGGAGGATAAAACCCCCTTTTTTTAACCCTCATATCTTGAATTTGGTGATCATTCACATGCATTGAATTTTAGGGGTTCCAAATACGTAGCACTTTAGAACCTTTTAAGGTTCTATATAGAACCTTTTCTTCTAAGAGTGTTCAGTGTGACAGGTTCACAAAACAACATCTGCACACTTATAGTTAAGGTCAGATCAAAATGATCAGGGACCTTGGTATAAACTTCAACTCCTTCTGAAGGACATGGGGCCTCAGGTGCATTCCTTTATCATACGTTTCATGCCTTTTATCATTCGTTTTTTTTTTTTCCACATCAAACTTTTTTTAAATTAAATTAATTACACCATTATATTACAAAATGGTGTACATATAATTATTTATGTATATTCAAATAGTTAAAAAAGTAATTTAACTTTGATTCATATATTTACACATTCATATCTGAAAGCACATCTACTGCAATCTGTTAAGAATATGACTTATTAAAGGGATAGTTCACTTTGAAATTGATTTTTGATATGTTTTAGCTTACCTCAAGGGCATCCAAGATGTAGGTGTCTTTGTGTCCACAGTATTTTCAATTTAGATATTTTTAGGTCAAACCGTGTGCCTGTCATATAATGCAGGTCTATGGTCACCACCTCAAAGAGCATGCACAGAGAAGTCCAAATTAAACATGAGTTAATGACTCGTAAATGTAAGTACACATTGATGGCCTAAGACACGAAACGAGCGGTTTGTCTGAGAAAACGAACAGTATTTATATTGTTTTTACCTCTTGTAACCACAGCCACGTCCAAGTGACCTGAAGCCAGGGGCGCTTCGGTCTGCGCAAGCGCCGGAAGTGATGTCTTGAGCGGTTGCGAAAAAAAACGCTGTCTTTTGATATATCGAAATTGTCTTCCATAATTTCCTGTATATCTGAATATGTTTGGATCTTCAAAGTGAAGGGCAACACTTCTGAAATCTCACTTCTGTGTAAACAATGAGTGATGCACACGTGCGAGAGATCACTTCCGGGGCTTTCGCCGCTTGCGTAGAAGCGCCCTCGCCCTCAGAGTACTTGGACGTGTCGTGACTGAGGTAAAAACGATATAAATACTCTTTGTTTTCTCAGACAAACCACTCGTTTCGTGTCTTAGGCCATCAATGTGTACTTACATTTATGAGTCCTTAAATTATGTTTAATTTGGACTTCTCTGTGCATGCTCTTTGTGGTGGCGACCATAGACCTCCATTATATGACAGACAGACAAGAACGGCTTGACCTAAAAATATCGAAATTGAAAATACTGTGGAAACAAAGACACCTACATCTCGAATGCCCTTGAGGTAAGCTAAAACATATCAAAAATTAATTTTAAAGTGAACTATCCCTTTAATAACCTTATGTTGCCTGTTAACCAAGCTAAATTGTCTTAAATATATGCTTTTGGCAATTTTTCTTTCTTTCTCCAAAATATGTGTTTATAATATATTTTTTAAAGAATTAGTTTATTATACTGCAAGACTGAACATGCATCAACATCTTGAAAAATCATATAAGAATAAGCTGAACTTACAGTGCCAAGTTGTAAAATAACTGCTATCCACTTTTGCTTTCAATGTTGTGATGAGCTTTTGTAAATGATTTTGTATGCTTCTGCTTTGTCTAATATATGTGAGAGATCTGTGTGTGCTTTGAAGGGAAGATTTTGAACTTCTCCGTTTGGCATTAGAAGTCGTGAAGCAAATCAAGTAGGTTCAGCATAGGATTGATCATGTTAATTGTTTGTGACACAAAATGAGCCACTGAATCTATTAAGCAGAGAGAAAGACACAAGTCTGTGTCTCACAGTAGGGCAGAGCTATTGTCTCGTTGAAATTCAGCTCAGTTTGTCTGGTCAGATGTTGAGTTGTGCCTTTGTCTGCAGAGCTGGGTTGATTTTTTTTTTTTTTTTTTTGCTCTTATTAGCTGTCAATTTTTTTTTTTCATATGTCAATCTGTTCTTGCCGCCCTCTTTTCTTAAGAAAGTTTTTGAGACTTGTGGTGAATAAAGAATTAAGTTATATTTAGTGCTTTAGTTGGCTTTGAGATCTGCATTTACAGCTTAAATTATACATTTTAAATATTAATTTTAAAATGCTATTTTATATTACATTTGTATTATTTTAAAATGATTTGTTGCTACATGTCATTTATTTAATTAAAAAAGACTGCAGTCATTTTTAGGGACACAATCTTATTTTTACATTACTTCTGTTGATCTTTAGAAATACTCATAATTTGATAACACTGTCTATGTAATCTTTACATTTATATCCATTTTTCATATTGTGTATAATGTTGTCACTTACCTTAAATCACTTAGCATTTAAAACTATGAATTTATAATTTTTTTGTTAAATTGTAATATATTAAGACAAAAAAAGTATTGAATTTTAATGTCTGCCATTCATCAGTTTTTAGTCATATAACATGCAAATTATTGGCTTATCTATATTACTGTAAACTGGCTGAATAAAACAATCAAGGGACCAAATCATTGAGTAAATGAGCCGGCAAGATAAAATGTGAGCAGAGATCACTTGGGGCTTAACAAAGATTAGGACTTTACAAAGTCTAATTCTTCCACCTCTCATGAAAGCCATTATTTTTCCTTTTCTCAGAGCAGCATTTCTCTGAGGAACTAGAAAACAGAGGATAGACAGCTAGACCTCACGGTGATTCAATGGGATGTCCCGCTAATACTAATGTAGTCAGAGTTCAGAGGATCTTGAAGTCAGTCTGAGGCTGTGTATATGAAGAGGTTTTTCAGTTAGGTTGCAACTTCAAGGATGATTCTGATTTATAACAGTGTTTACATTATTTTTACCTGATCCTTTGTGGTATAGACCATTTCACAAGATGTAAACAACACTGGTCCAGAAGCACTTCCTGTTTAACACAGTCTCATCCCAAAAAGTCATATAACTGACGTTTTGGG